TGCTTGGAGATCAGTGTCCCTGGTTAGCAACCAGGGACGCTGATCTCTCTGAAAGTGGCCGGAGCCAGCCGTAAGATCACGGCTGGCTCCGCCCAGCTGTCAGAAGCAGGCTGCCGGCCGGCCAATGGCCGGCCACTCGGCCAGCTTCGGCTTTCAGCACGGCTCAGCCGAGCCGATGCATATGCGTTTGGCTCGACTGAGCAGCTCGGCCACATTCGGGAGCTGTACGGGCAATAGTGAATAGCCCATACAGCACCCCTTCAGTTCTACTGAACCGAAGGGGTCCAGGGGCCGAAGCTAGCCAAAGGATCGGCCGAAGCTACGGCTAGATCCTTCGGCAGCTTCGTGAATAGACCCCTATGTGTTTGTAGATTGCCATTACTAAACATTTCTAAAGGTGCCTGTGTTGTTATATTAAAGATATGGGTAAAGTTCATCTTTAAGATTGGATATTACTCTTGTGCCTCTTTCAGACATCCACACATGGAGGGATTTAAATTTCTGTCTATGGCCATTATGGGCAGAATAATAAAACTCCTTGATCTTGAAAAGTTTTCCTGCACATGACGGGGCCCATAGCACTGATACTATAATTAAAGATATGGGTAAAGTTCATCTTTAAGATTGGATATTACTCTTGTGCCTCTTTCAGACATCCACACATGGAGGGATTTAAATTTCTGTCTATGGCCATTATGGGCAGAATAATAAAACTCCTTGATCTTGAAAAGTTTTCCTGCACATGACGGGGCCCATAGCACTGATACTATATTTGGACTTAGGACGGCTCCTTTCTCATGTAGGGTCCTAAGGACCTTTAGTCTGGAAGGAATTATGTCTAAAATGTTGTCATTGTATTCTATCATCCTTCTACTGCAACACACAATGTTGTAGTGCAGACAAGAGACTTGTGAGCTTTGTGACTTAAATTACGTTTTCCAGCCAATTTTTTTTGGACAGGGTGCAGTCTGTATCTCCATTGGGGAAGTTCCTTTAATTTCACTTCGAGGCAAATACTTTGGCTATACATACAGATTTTACATGGACTATTTTAACAAAATAATTATACAGTGAGGAAAATAATTATTTGATCCCCTGCAGATTTCGTAAGTTTACCCAATTACAAAGAAATGAAAGGTCTATAATTTTTATCATAGGTGTATTTTAAATTATAAAGACAGAATATCAACCAAAAAGCCAGAAAAAACACATGATACAAATGTTATAAATTGAGTTGCAGTTCAGTGAGTAAAATAAGTATTTGATCCCACAATAATAGACAATGAAAGAGACAGAATATCAACCAAAAATCCAGAAAAAAACACATGATACAAATGTTATAAATTGAGTTGCAGTTCAGTGAGTAAAATAAGTATTTGATCCCCTACCAACCAACAATACTTCTGGTTCCCATTGACTGGCTATGTGGTACACAGATTAGTCCGGTCAATTTAAGAAGGTGCTCCTAACAACAACTCGTTATGTATATAAAAGACACCTGCCCACAGAATCTCTTTCTTCCATTCAAACCTCACCACCATGGGCGAGACCAATGATCTGTCAACAGACGTTAGTGACAAGATTGTAGACCTCCACAAGGCTGGAATGGGCTACAAGGCTATTAGCAAGAAACTGTCTGCAAGAAAGTGTTTTTTTAGCCAAATCTTTTAGTTTCGGATAGAGTCGGGAAGGGTTAGCATTCCAAAAAGATTATATTTTGCTGTCTGTGCCCTTCTGAGATTTCCTTTCACTGTTTTTCTGTCTTTGAAAACGTAACAAAAATGAGAAGAAATCTTCCCAAAGGGAAATAAATTCCCACCTTAATGTGCCCATACAGCTTATGATTCGGGTTTTCGTACAATAATCGGCCAGTTGATGGGGAGTGAACAATCACAATTACTGTACAACTGGCCAAATTTCATCTATCGGGCATACTAGAAAACGTATTTCGAATCGTACAAAAATCGATGGATTAGTGGCGTTTTCGTACAAAAAAAAAGTGCAACATGAACACTGAACATGCGCAAACTAAAATCCATTCTTTCGATTGATGAAATTAGGTCAGTTAGTATTGCTAACGAACCATAATTGAAATCCACATTGGTCTGTGCATGATGAGGCAGTTGTGCAGAAATCAAACGACGGTTTGATTGCTGGATGTAAAAAATTGTAGGATAGTTGTAAGGTGTATGGCCACCTTTAGACAACTGTCACCAGAATGTGTTCCCATTGGAAGTTTTCCCCTCATCTCTTGCTCTCATGACAACTCTAATATCAGGATTTACTACAAAATTGTGTGTTGCAGTTAGGGCCTTAGCTACCATGGGGCGAGTGAGGCACTCGCCTCAGGTGCAGCTGAGAGGGGGTGCAGCCAGGGCCGGCCTGGCTGTGCCCCCTTGCCCATTGGCAACAGGGGCGCCAGGCGGCCAATACATCTGTGCCTCAGCAGGGAGAAGAGGAGTGGCACAGGCTCCAGCTTCTCATCAGATCCCTGCTTCTCTCACTCACCTGTATGGGCAGAGGACTCTGTGTCCTCAATCTCTTTTTCTATTTCAAAAGGGAAATATCAGGGGTCTGTTTAGACCTCTGATATTTCACCAAAGCCCCCCAACAGTAAAAATAATAATCATTTTAAAAAAACACCCCACACACACACACACTCATGCACACATATTACTAGACATGTGCAAAGACTAAAAATTTGTTTCGGACGAAATGAACAAAAACTAAAAATGTTTTCATCAGTTTCATCAAACGAAATACATTTTTATGCTATTTTGGATTTGGCCACCAGCGCATTCTGCCCTCTATCCTGGAGGCGGGGCGCATGACGTCACATACTGCACACGTCTATTGGGGAGCACAATTTTCTGTTCTTGCCTCGGGCGCAAAAGGAGCGAGCTACGGCTCTGGTTGCAGTAGAAGGATGACAGAATATACCCTTCCATCCATGTCTGTCTCTGTAACCAGGACAAATAGAGGGGTGAATCTCTCCGGCATAATTTAATTTTAACTTCTTTTTTTTTTAAGTTGGTAAAGCAGGAAACAGTAAGCGAGAAAGAAAATAAGACGGTGACACTGCCCAAACTCCCAAAAGTACAATACTGTCTTCCTACTAACCGTGTGAAAATTGGTCTGCAGTGAATATCGAAACAAATGTCAGATTACTGAGTGAATGTTCCAATTGTGGCACAGTTCAATTCATAGCATTATTTGATTATTTGGTCACTCATTTATTCCCCTATTGCCTGGAATTCCTCTTTAAATAAGCCTATAGGTGGTTATTTTTTTTTGGTAAAGCCAGGCTCATATTATAAGTACAAGCGAAGCTAAGACACCGCTATTGCATGCCATTTTTACATACAGAACAGTTCCAAAGAAAGTGTGAATGTGTCTATGGTGCAGCCAGGACACAGGACCATATGCATGAGCTTGGAGCGGTGGCTACTTTACACCACACACACAGGGATCATTGGGAACAAAAGTGGCCACCCTCCAAAAGGAAGGACAGTGTCAGCACCAATTCAGAGAAGATTTGAGGATCTGCAGCCGAATGATAACAAAAATGTATCTGATTTCTGTAATAGTTCAGGTACTTGATTGCATTTTTAAGATTTAATTCCTGAGTTTAGTGTCACTTTAAGTATAGCATACGTTTGTACTCAAGAACTAGTGTCACTTTAACTTGTAAGCACATAAATTAAATCTGATTTTTTTTTTTTTTTCATCACCCAATATAGAAAGTTACCAAAGACACTGTAACAAACACTAGTAATTGTAAAACACAAACTGTGGCAGCTTAAAAAACAAATAAATAAGTGGTTTTAAGATTACACTAAAATCCTGAACGTACCTGTAAATATACCTCACTGACTAATTAAACTGCATTCATTTCTACCTCTGTTCCTACTACATGATCAGCAAGTTATTTATTAAATGCACCAACATTCATAAAATACAAAACTGCTAAAATGATTTTTAAAAAACTTTTCTTGATGAATTGAAATTAATTTTACAAAAAGAACTTACGTTCTATAGAAGCTCAGCTCAGTTGAACAAATTCATGGTGCTCGCCTCATGCTCAATTACTCCTGTTTGTTTACCTAGTCAAGCAGTTAACTACAGAGAGCAATGATTACCTTGTTGAGCAAGACTAGGCAAACTCAGACACACCTTGTCCTATCCCTGGCTGCCCAGATCACTGACATACCAAAGAACAAAGGCTCCTGGGACTTGAAGTTCTTTTGTGAGAAGGTAACGCTAGGTGAAAGGTATGCAGAACTCACTACCCAGAATCCCCGGATGTGAACCTGAGCATACACCTGAAACTACATAAGGAGTTTCGGTTGAGGAGGAACCAGGGAAAAAAGTGAAAAGTGTCTTGTCTCTGCTGTGTGTCACGTTTGCAGTTGAAAAGCACTGCACTGGAAAGTCTCTAGTATAAAGAGTGCAATGATTCCACCATGAGTCTACTGGGCTTATAATATTTAATAAGGCAATGAAAACAACGGTACTGATGTAGAAAGAGCATTAACCCAAAGCAACTAATCAGATTTGTGAATAGTGTATTCATATTAGATGAAGTCTGATGGCTTTTTGCCTATATATGTTACATTCCTTGATGGATGTGTGAGTTATGTAATTTCTCTCTCTGTGTAATAGGAGAATTTTGTACGTCTCCTGATAAATATTCCCGTTTATGATATGCAGCATTTTAATAGCCATTTTCTGAATTTTTTTGTTTTTACTCATTTATTTTCTGGAGGACGGGTCTCTATGCAGTAATTGAACGCAGTCTCCTGGGTACATCTGTGCGCTTATATGGAGTGTATTAATCTTCATCTGCAATTATATACCTTCACCATTTGTAATGAAATAATATTTCAATTTATTATTCTGTAATAGATTTAAAAAAAAAGAGATTGGAAATGAACTTGCTTTGTTATGAAGTAATATTTTTTTTTGCAGTCAAATTTCATTTGGTGATTTATAAGTAACTTTTTGACAACGTGGTCAACAAGAAATGGAGGTCCCTTTATAAAATGTAAAGAATCTTTTTTTTTTCTTTTTCCTAGATAGACTTGTCATAGAGATCAGCTTGATGTAAATAATCTTCTGAATATGCATTAAAAGAGAACTATGGGGTAACCTTTTTATCCCATAGTTTTCTTTAGGGTCACTGAAGGACATATACAAAGCTCCTCCCGTGACCCAAAACTTGGCATCTAGCGCGGCAGTGGGACGGATTCCGACAATACTGTTGAAATCCACCCAGCTGTTTGATTGACAGTTGGCTCTGCCTATCTAGAGGCAGAGCCAGCTGTACCCTCCCCCTCCATCGTCCATTCCTCCAGTCAGTGCTGGAGGATCGGAGAGGGGAGGGGGGAATCCCTGCAGTCACCACTCTCTGCAAGGAGATGATCGGGAAGTGAGCGAGCGGCAGTATGTGTTCGCTCACTTTCCAATCTATAGAGTCGACATGTTTAATTGTCACAGGTCGGCTCTGACCAGTGGCGGAACTACCAGGGTTGCATCGGTCACTAGGCTGAATTTGGAACTGACTATATTCTATTGCATGTTCTATAATGACATTGTATTACTAGGAAACTACAAGTCAGCACTACAAAACTACATACAGTTCCATGTATGATAGAAGGCTGTTTTAATTACTGTTCTCATGAAAGTACTAGTAATACAATGTCATTATAGAAACATAGAATAGAACATAGTTGAACTTGAAATTTACTGTACTATAATGCCATTGTATTACTAGTACTTTCATGAGGAATTAATTAAAACAGCCTTCTAACATACAGGGGACTACAAGTCCCAGCATGCACTCACTGTCCCTGTACACCTCTCACATATCACCCAGTGAACTACTGCAGGGGGCTTGCATGCTGGAACTTGTAGTTCCCTGGGTGATTTATATGTGGGGGTGTATAAGGACAATGAGAGCACGATGGGACTTGTAGTTCCCTGGTTTATGTGGAGGGGTGTATAGGGACAATGAAGGCATGTTGGTTGTAGTTGAGCTATAAGTCCCAGCATGCCTTCAATGTTATACCCCCAGGGGCCTTGAAAGGAAGAAGAGGGCCCAGCCCAGTAACCGCCGAGGCCCCCGACATTGCCTCCTGGGACTACAGCTCCGAGCAGGCCAGTGCTCCGCAGCACGCCGGAGGGGGGGCCTTCATGGCTTGGTGCATCGGGGCCCTGAGGTTCCTGCGCCTCTGGCTCTAACTATGAGGATCAGTGAAAATCACTCACCTCATAGTTCTCCTTTAATGTTTTAAAACTAACCTTCTTCCTCTGTATAACTTGTAATTACATCTGCACATGGGGGAAGCACTTTTGGTTATTCCATATGTAGTCCGAGCTTCCTGTTTTGCAGTGCAACACCATGTTTGTGTTATATGCTCCTTCACACAATGCATGTCTTTGTCATCCAAATTATTCAAAACAATGCACTCCCTGTGCGGCTCATATCTTAGCTCAGGTGTTAAGGGCATAGTCCACCCTTTCAAAAAAATAATAATGAATGCACAGATATTCATAGAAGAATAAATGAGCATCTATGGTACATTTATTACTTTTTTCCATTGGAGGCAGTAAAGCATCACAACCACGAACAGCGGATTACAGGTGCAATGCTCTGGCTTCTGCAGATTCTCCCTCCCATCCGTACCAAGGCACGGACATTCAGTTTCATGGATGGGAGAAAGAATGAATGGACTACAAGACCAGTGACATCAATGCACTTGTATTGTTTCTCCATTTACAATTCCTGTCAAAGGATCTGTGAATAGATGATGAGGCTGTGTGGGCTATTTTCAAATAAAAGCAGCATCCTGTGGGAGAAGAACCCAGTGATTCAGGTAAGTGGGGGAGTGGGATGGGGGTGGGGGGTGATGATGTGACCATGTTTCAGGTTGCACCTTAAATATGGGTGTAACCTGAAACATGGTATAAAAAGGTAAACTTAGCCTTCAGGCCAGGTGCAGACTTAGGCGACCCCTGGTCACGTGTATCGGGACCGCACGTTCGTGTGCAGGTTCACATAGCGGTTGCTATGAGGGTTGTATCCGCACAGCAATCGCTGAAAAAAGGTACATGTACCTTTTTTGGCGACATGCACAGCATGTTTTTTGCAGCCACGATATTGCGCGATTGCACGGGCGGAATCGTGGCGGAAAACCCTGCAATATGCCTGGCGCGCCATTAGATAAGAACGGCAGCGCAATCAGCGGTGGTGTGCGATTCCGTGACCGGGCTGCTATCTGCACGGTTTTGTGCACGATTAAAGCATGGTTATGGATCGCCCAAGTGTGAACCTGGACTTAAATAGAGACAAAACAATTGCACTGAGCTACTAAGAGCTCCCTCTAGTGGCTGGAACATGGAAGTGAAAGCTTGTAAGATGGCACTTGCAATGGGATCCGTCCATTCAATACTTTATTTGCAAAAAGCATAAAGCAGCAAACAAACAAATGCTTACATGTTTCAGCTCCCAAACTGGGCCTTAGTCGTAGCAAGGAAACATCAAAATGACATAGCTTAAATACTTGATTCCCTCACTCCTAAAGGGGGCGGGACATCTTTCAACCATTTAATCCACATACAAAAGACACATAAATAAATCCTTCTATATAACATCACAACATGCACATACAAAAAGAAAACAATTTTGTAGATGTATGAAGAGCCATCAGTTCCAAATATCACATAGTAGAAACACTTCTGCAAATTGCAAAGTGAATAGGAACATAGAAACATGTCAAGTCGAGATATTACCTGGTACAAATACCAATTTTTTTATAAATCATATTTATGGTGCTATAGTCTTCCCACTCTGAAGATTAGGATTAAGGTCGGGTGGTTATCATCTATATGGATATTTTTACCGGGTAATATCTGTGATTGACATTCTTCTATGTGTTTTTAGGATTGTGTTTTTTCTATTTCTTATATTCTATGCACATGTTGTGATGTTATATGGGAAGTTGCTATTCACTTTACAATTTACATACATCAGCAAAATTGTTTTCTTTTTGTATGTGCATGTTGTGATGTTATATAGAAGATTTAATTTATATGTGTCTTTTGTATGTGGCGCAAATGGTTAAAATATGTCCTGCCCCCTCTGTGTATGAGGAACTATAGAGAACTATAGTATTTAACCACTTGATGACCGGGGTACACCCCCTTCCTGGTCAGGCCATTTTTTCAGTATTCAGCGCTGCGGTACTTTGACTGACATTTATTCCGTCATGCAACGCTGTACTGAAATGAGTTTTATACCATTTTTTGGGGACAGATAGAGCTTTATTTTGGTGGTATTTAATGACGGGTGGTATAGTATATATTTTTTAATGTATAATGAAAAAAGTTACGAAAATTTTGTTATAAAACATTTATTATTACCCAATTTTTTGTAAAATATAAAAGACGGGGTGACATCGGGTAAATAGACACCAAATATGTCAAGCCTTAAAATTGCGCGCGCGCGCGCAAAATCACAAAAACTACCATACCTAAAATTGTCCATAGGCGACGCTTTAAAGGCTTTTACCGCTCATCAGTTTAGTTTTATCAATTATTGATGGCCCTAGAATTATTGTTCTCACTGTGACATTCGCGGTGATATGTAACATATGTGGCGTAATCATTGTTTTCGCACATAGGCGCACCCAAGGCGTATTTAGGTTTATATGTGAGTGCAAGCGGGGGCAGGGGACTTACATTTTATTGGGTGTTTTTTTGTTTTTTACACTTAACTTGATTGCTATCACATAGGGAGCTGAGAAGTCTCCTATGTGATAACAAATATACATTGATAGGTCCTCTTTATGGAGACATCCGGGGTCTCTAAGACTCCTAATGTCACCTTGGGACCCCCAAAGAAGCTGATGAAGCACAGATCTGCTTCACCAGCTTCTTCTCTGGCTGTAGCAGCCAGAGAAATGACCGCTAAAGGCGGAAGTGATGTAATACACATTTAATACATATTACTTCCGCCCATCCAACAGAGTTGCAGACTGAGTAGCAGCTTCCCCAAGTCAAGGATGTGGTAGTTGCCTTTGTGCTTGACTTGTTAGCAGGCTGTGGCCACATG